TTTTTACGCTGCTGCTACTCTGTTAATTATTTATGCATAGTCACTTTAACTCTACCCACATGTACATATTACTTCAACTACCTTAACTAGCCGGTGCCCCCGCACATTGACTCTGCACCGGTACCCCCCTGTATATATAGCCTCCCTACTGTTATTTTATTTTACTTCTGCTCTTTTTTTCTCAACACTTTTTTGTTGTTGTTTTATTTTACTTTTTTATTAAAACCAAATGCACTGTTGGTTAAGGGCTGTAAGTAAGCATTTCACTGTAATGTCTGCACCTGTTGTATTCGGCGCATGTGGCCAATAAAATTTGATTTGATTTGACCACAGAAAGTACTGAGCTAGGCTGAAACACCTGCATTTTGGTGTGCCTTACTCAAGAAAGAGACCATGTTTGTATGCGGCTTTATTAACTCAATGATCAATTTTTTTTACATTGTTTGCAAACTGATGTGACATGAATGAATGCCAAAATAACATGCAAAAAAGGCAATAACAATAAATAAATATATATATATATATATATATATATATATATATATATATATATATACAGTGGGGAAAAAAAGTATTTAGTCAGCCACCAATTGTGCAAGTTCTCCCACTTAAAAAGATGATAGAGGCCTGTAATTTTCATCATAGGTACACGTCAACTATGACAGAAAATTTGAGAATTTTTTTTCCAGAAAATCGCATTGTAGGATTTTTTATGAATTTATTTGCAAATTATGGTGGAAAATAAGTATTTGGTCACCTACAAACAAGCAAGATATCTGGCTCTCACAGACCTGTAACTTCTTCTTTAAGAGGCTCCTCTGTCCTCCACTCGTTACCTGTATTAATGGCACCTGTTTGAACTTGTTATCAGTATAAAAGACACCTGTCCACAACCTCAAACAGTCACACTCCAAACTCCACTATGGCCAAGACCAAAGAGCTGTCAAAGGACACCAGAAACAAAATTGTAGACCTGCACCAGGCTGGGAAGACTGAATCTGCAATAGGTAAGCAGCTTGGTTTGAAGAAATCAACTGTGGGAGCAATTATTAGGAAATGGAAGACATACAAGACCACTGATAATCTCCCTCGATCTGGGGCTCCATGCAAGATCTCACCCCGTGGGGTCAAAATGATCACAAGAACGGTGAGCAAAAATCCCAGAACCACATGGGGGGACCTAGTGAATGACCTGCAGAGAGCTGGGACCAAAGTAACAAAGCCTACCATCAGTAACACACTACGCCGCAAGGGACTCAAATCCTGCAGTGCAAGACGTGTCCCCCTGCTTAAGCCAGCATGTCCAGGCCCGTCTGAAGTTTGCTAGAGTGCATTTGGATGATCCAGAAGAGGATTGGGAGAATGTCATATGGTCAGATAAAACCAAAATATAACTTTTTGGTAAAAACTCAACTCGTCGTGTTTGGAGGACAATGAATGCTGAGTTGCATCCAAAGAACACCATACCTACTGTGAAGCATGGGGGTGGAAACATCATGCTTTGGGGCTGTTTTTCTGCAAAGGGACCAGGACGACTGATCCGTGTAAAGGAAAGAATGAATGGGGCCATGTATCATGAGATTTTGAGTGAAAACCTCCTTTCATCAGCAAGGGCATTGAACATGAAACGTGGCTTGGTCTTTCAGCATGACAATGATCCCAAACACACCGCCCGGGCAACGAAGGAGTGGCTTCGTAAGAAACATTTCAAGGTCCTGGAGTGGCCTAGCCAGTCTCCAGATCTCAACCCCATAGAAAATCTTTGGAGGGAGTTGAAAGTCCGTGTTGCCCAGCGACAGCCCCAAAACATCACTGCTCTAGAGGAGATCTGCATGGGGGAATGGGCCAAAATACCAGCAACAGTGTGTGAAAACCTTGTGAAGACTTACAGAAAACGTTTGACCTGTGTCATTTCCAACAAAGGGTATATAACAAAGTATTGAGAAACTTTTGTTATTGACCAAATACTTATTTTCCACCATAATTTGCTAAGAAATTCATTTAAAAATCCTACAATGTGATTTTCTGGAATTTATTTTCTCATTTTGTCTGTCATAGTTGACGTGTACCTATGATGAAAATTACAGGCCTCTCTCATCTTTTTAAGTGGGAGAACTTGCACAATTGGTGGCTGACTAAATACTTTTTTTCCCCACTGTATATATATATATATATATATATATATATATATATATATATATATATATAGTTGAAGTCGGAAGTTTACATACACTTAGGTTGGAGTCATTAAAACTCGTTTTTCAACCACTCCACACATTTCTTGTTAACAAACTATAGTTTTGGCAAGTCGGTTAGGACATTACTTTGTGCATGACACAAGTAATTTTTCCAACAATTGTTTACAGACAGAATATTTCACTTATAATTCACTGTATCACAATTCCAGTGGGTCAGAAGTTTACATACACTAAGTTGACTGTGCCTTTAAACAGCTTGGAAAATTCCAGAAAATGATGTCATGGCTTTAGAAGCTTCTGATAGGCTAATTGATATAATTTGAGTCAATTGGAGGTGTACCTGTGGATGTATTTCAAGGCCTACCTTCAAAGTCAGTGCCTCTTTGCTTGAAATCATGGGTAAATCAAAGGAAATCAGCCAAGACCTCAGAAATAAAATGGTAGACCTCCACAAATCTGGTTCATCCTTGGGAGCAATTTCCAAACAACTGAAGGTACCACGTTCATCTGTACAAACAATAGTACACAAGTATAAACACCATGGGACCACGCAGCCGTCAAACCGCTAAGGAAGGAGACGCATTCTGTCTCCTAGAGATGAACATACTTTGGTGCGAGAAGTGCAAATCAATCCCAGAACAACAGCAAAGGACCTTGTGAAGATGCTGGAGGAAACAGGTACAAAAGTATCTATATCCACAGTAAAACGAGTCCTATATCGACATAACCTGAAAGGCCGCTCAGCAAGGAAGAAGCCACTGCTCCAAAACCGCCATAAAAAAGCCAGACTACGGTTTGTAACTGCACATGGGGACAAATATCGTACTTTTTTGAGAAATGTCCTCTAGTCTGATGAAACAAAAATAGAACTGTTTGGCCATAATGACCATCGTTATGTATGGAGGAAAAAGGGGGACGCTTGCAAGCCGAAGAACACCATCCCAACCGTGAAGCACGGGGGTGGCAGCATCATGCTGTGGGGGTGCTTTGCTGCAGGAGGGACTGGTGCACTTCACAAAATAGATGGCATCATGGGGAAGGAAAATGATGTGGATATATTGAAGCAACATCTTAAGACATCAGTTAGGAAGTTAAAGCTTGGTCGCAAATGGGTCTTCCAAATGGACAATGACCCCAAGCATACTTCCAAAGTTGTGGCAAAATGGCTTAAGGACAACAGAGTCAAGGTATTGGAGTGGCCATCACAAAGCCCTGATCTCAATCCTATAGAAAATTTGTGGGCAGAACTGAAAAAGCATGTGTGAGCAAGGAGGCCTACAAACCTGACTCAGTTACACCAGCTCTGTCAGGAGGAATGGGCCAAAATTCACCCAACTTATTGTGGGAAGTTTGTGGAAGGCTACCTGAAACGTTTGACCCAAGTTAAACAATTTAAAGGCAATGCTACCAAATACTAATTGAGTGTATGTAAACTTCTGACCCACTGGGAATGTGATGAAAGAAATAAAAGCTGAAATAGATCATTCTCTATTATTCTGATATTTCACGTTCTTAAAATAAAGTGGTGATCCTAACTGACCTAAAACAGGGAATTTGTACTAGGATTAAATGTCAGGAATTGTGAAAAACTGAGTTTAAATGTATATAATAAAACATTTTTTTATTACATTTTTTGCTAAAACAGATGGGGCAGAGCCTTACAGCCCCACCTGCCCTGAATGACGGGTCGCCACTGTCCACAATACTAACCTAAATGACAGAGTGAAAAGAAGGAAGCCTGTACAGAATAAAACATATTCCAAAACATGCATCCAGTTTGCAATAAGGCACTAAAGTAAAACTGCAAAAAATGTGGCAAAGAAATTGACTTTATGTCCTAAATACAAAGTGTTATGTTTGGGGCAAAACCAACACATCACTGAGTACCACTTCATATTTTCAAGCATTGTGGTGGCTGCATCATGTTATGGATATGCTTGTCATCGGCAAGGGAGTTTTTAGGATAAAAATAAACGTAATAGAGCTAAGCACAGGCAAAATCCTAGAGGAAAACCTGGTTCAGTCTGCTTTCCAACAGACACTGGTAGTTTAAATTCACCTTTCAGCAGGACAATAACCTAAAACACAAGGCTAAATATACACTGGAGTTGCTTACCAAGACAACATTGTATGTTCCTGAGTTACAGTTTTGACTTAAATCGGCATAAAAATCTATGTCAAGATTTGAAAATGTCTGTCTAGCAACGATCAACAAGCATCTTGACAGAGCTTGAAGAATTTAAGAATATTGTACAATCCAGGTGTGCAAAGCTCTTAAGAGGCTTTCCCAGAAAGACTCACAGCTGTAATCGCTGCCAAATGTGATTCTAACATGTATTGACTCAGGGGTGTGAATACTTATATAAATTAGACATTTCTGTATTTGATTTTCAATAAATTTGAAAACATTTCTAAAAACATGTTTTCACTTTGTCATTATTGGGTATTGTGTGTAGATGGGTGAGAAAAAAATATATTTCATCCATTTTAAATTCTGGCTGCAACACAACAAAATAAGTCAAGGGGTATGAATACTTTCTGAAGGCAATGTACATGATACTGTCTTAAGTGTAAAAGTTGTTGGAGTGTATAGTGTTGTACAACCATGCCTCTTGGTTACTACAATTTTGTGAGTGTGAATTTTTCTGATTATTTCTTGATTCACAGAGGCACACCCTCAAATTACCCTAAAATTATAAATCAGCTCAGGACAACTTTCTTTGCAATTGCAGTTTTTTTAGCAAACACCTTTTAAGCCTAGAATAAAAAATAAAAATAAATCCATTATCTGATGTCTCCATGATGACTGTACGTGTTTTACAGGACCAAGCAACTATTTTCATTATCTTTTCAAATAAACTGGACAACCAGTTGAAAATGGAGGTGGAGTTTTCCTCTAAAGATTTAGCTGCAAAACGGGTTTTAGGGATTTTGGAGAATGAATACACCATCAGTGTTAACGCGCCTGGTAAGTAGGCTACCTTTAGAGGCTTTCAATCGCTATAGAGGAACATTTAGACCACTTACCCAGTCTTCTATTTCACTTTCACTTATTCTATTTCACTATTACATTCTTATTGTGGACATTTCTTCGACCAATGTGAATAACTTGAAGTGATTTGCCAGCCACTATGCTGTATAGTAGATAAAGAATGCTAACCCAGATAAATGTCATCTTTCCCAGATATGCCAGCAGGAGAGATGTCACTCACTCTGCATGGCAACGACTCACCAGTCTGTTTGAGGCCTGTAACATACTACACAGTCATGGGAGAAGTCAGCAGTTACCTTGAACTTGCAGCTGCTCCCATGGACTTTATGTGTCAGGTGAGAGTGCTCAGTACAGAGTAAAAACACAGTAATGAAGACTGACAAATTCAGTTTTCAACATCTCTAAATAATTGATTTTGAAAGGGATAGTTCACGGGGGTGGTTTCCTTACCCTGTAAGGTTTGACAGCAATCCATGCTTTGGTTTAGTTTCCCTGGCACTGTTTCCAAATGCTAAGATTTTATAATTTGTGCCAAATCCAAGTCCTGGTACCGATATTAGAATTTTTCGCACATCATGCCCTAATCATACGAAAGGATCTCAAATCGATTGTGAAGTTCAACAAAATCACTTATAGATGATTTAACATGATGCGAAAAATGCTAAAATCAGTACCATGACTTGAATGGGATTTGTGCCACAAATGCGAGTGCCTGTTACCATTTAGTAGGCTTGCAACAAGCTAAGGTGCTAGGGATGGGCTTAAAATGCAAGCTACGGCTCCAAGCATCAGTGGTTCAATCCCAGTGACTGGTTTTGTTATTTTGTTTTTTTCTGTTTAAACCCTATCTCAAACCTTAACCCTAACCTTAACCAGTTGGAATTACTGCCTAAACTTACATTTCGGTTTCAGTTTTGTGCAGTTTGATTGAAGGCTAACATATGGCAAAATACGCTGTAATTAAAAGGGCAAGAGAGGCCATCTCCTGTTGCCTTCAGTTATGTCAAATGTCTCTATTTTCATTGGAGGTTGCGTTGCATCTCACACAGACTAAAGCTTCAAGAAAGCCTAAAAAACATTAATGTGTAAATTCTTTAGAACATATTCAATTTCCTTCAATAGTATGTTGTTCATTTCTATGTTTCTAGGCATTCAATATCACATCCAATACCACAGAGTCACTTGACAATATGCTGACAGACTCGTTAAAAGGCAGGATTCCTGCAAGTGGACTTCATGTGTTTGGAATCAGACAGATCGAGGAAGACAATATGGCTGCATGTAAGTGCTTTACATTTTGACCAGAAAATATAACGGAATGATACATTTGCTTGTCTACACACTAACAGTTCTATTGAAACTGGTATGCATGTTTTTGTGGTAAGGAAAAACAATGTGCTAGCTAGTTTCTAGTGAATACTTACACTACATTGTTGTAGATGTTTCACGAGAGAGTAAGGGGAGTTCCTCAAACAGTTCCACTAATCTCAGTTAGGTATTTTTTTTAAATCATATTCTTTAAAATCAAGTGATATGCAGTTGCGGCCAAATATATTGGCACCATTACACTTTTCCCTATTTCTTATAAAATACGTTGACATTTAAGCTTTTGGCCACCAGACCTTCTAATTGGATTTTCAACATTGCAGAACACATTTAATTTTTTTAAACTTACGTTTACAATTTTAATTGAGAAAATATAGACAAATGGCATTGCCAAAATTATTGCCGCCCAGGAGCTAGTAATTGGTTGCACAGCCTTTGGCCAAGATAACTGCAGACAAACGCTTCTTGTAGCCATAAATGAGTTTAATGCACCTTTCTACTGCCAATTTTTTTAGCAACAAACTGCTCTAATTCTTCAATGTTTAAAGGGTGCCCTCCACCAACTGCTGTTTTCAGATCTCGCCATAAGTTTTGGATGTGATTCTGGACTCTTCGCTGGCCACTCCAAAACAGCCCAGCATCTCTTACTGAACCATTCCTGGGTGCTTTTTGATGTGTGTTTGGGGTTGTTTTCCTGCTGGAATAACCTTCAAATGGAGACCCAGGTTTTGGACACTGGGTTGAACATTGGACTCCAAAACACCTGATAATCTGCTGATTTCATGATGTCTTGCACTTATTCAAGGCCCCCAGCACTAGAGGCAGCAAAGCAACCCCACAGCATGATCAAACCTCCCCATATATGACATTGAAGAATTAGAATGGTTTGCTGCTGAAGAGTGGCCCGAATTGCCAGTAGAAAGGTGCAGCAAGCTCACAAGAAGCATTTGTTGGCAGTTTTATAATTTTTTATTTCAATTTATTTTAGAAGAAATAGGGAATTATTTCAGTAAAGTGCAAGGGTGCCAATATGTTTGGCCGCAATTGTATTTGCATTTTTTTTTTTATGGGCCAAAAATACAGACAGTGGCTCTAAGCAGAGTTGGGGTCAATTCCATTTAAATATAGGGGTTGATTGAAAATCCCTCCCTATATATTGAGAATCAAAAGACACTAAAACATAAAGAATGGAGTAAAAACAATCTTGCAGTTTGGGTTATGACAGTGTAATACAGTTGTAGTAAGCAAGTATGTTATTTGCTTATTTAATTATTTGACATTACCATTTAATGACAGGAACTCTTACAGATTGTGCCTTTAATTACAGATTATGCCATTAAATTTACTCTGACAGTCAAATTAGTTCCTAGACGGCCGTATATAAATCCATCCTTAAGCAGACAGTTGTTATGGTTATGAAATTGGATAAATGGGACACGTCGGGAAAAAAAAGTTGCCAAAATGTGATTTTTTCAAATGACCGATGAACTACCATTCACCTGCTGTAATCATCCAAATGTTTTATCTGGGACATCCAAAAAATGTGATCTGGGACATGGCCACTGATCATCCAAAAATGTTATCTGGACATTCAAAAATGCCATCAAATGATGTCCACATTATTTTTTATCTGAGAGTCCAAGAATCCCCATCGAGTTATGTTGACATCCAGGGATGTGATCCAAGGTCCAAAAGGTCAATACATTCTGTGTTCTAAATTTAGGTGAATTGGGAATATTTCTTTTTTGGGAACATTTCTTTTTTATCAAGTTCAACTTTTATCCTGAAGGTTTTGAGTCTTCAAGAACGTTCATAACAAGTGGAATAGATCACATAGATTCATTTGACTGTTTTTGTCACTCAGGTCAGCGAAAGCAGGAGCTTCCCACTCTGCTTCATTTTGCTGCAAAGTATGGGCTGAAGAAGCTTACCACAGTCCTGCTACAGTGTCCAGGTGCCTTACAGGCCTACAGCGTAATGAATAAGAATGGAGACTACCCAAATACACTGGCAGAGAGGAGCGGTTTCTCTGACTTGAGACAGTTCATGGACGACTTTGTGGTAAGTCCATTGTTAGTATGTTTATCTTGTATCTCTCTAGTGTGATCTCAATTATGGGAAATGCTCTGAATTGCACAACAATTAAATCAAATAGCAGCTACCGGTAAATCATATTGTAGTAACTTTCTGAAATAATATCTTTAGTGAAGACTAAGACTATGTGCACGATATCTCGTATGTAGGAGACGGCTGACATGCTGAAGTCTCATATCAAAGAATCCATCTCGGCTAAAGAAGATGATGTGTACGAGTCCACGTCCATCTCCTCTCGAGATATCATCATGAAGTATTCCCTGAACCCCGGGTGCCAAGAAGACATCTATGAGTCCATGATGGGGTTAAGCCCAGACTACATGGAAGACCTATGTATGACTAATTACATGAAGTACCATTTCCCATTGATGATGATGATGATGATGGATTAATATCATTATCTTTGAATATTTTATTTCCCTCAGATGAGGACATGGAGAAGGCATTAGGAGAGTCGCATAACCCAGTGGAAATCATACTTAGAAAGTTTTTTCAAGGTAAATTGACAAAATATGAATGCTGGGAACTGTTTCATATCGATATACAGTGCATTCAGAAAAGTATTCAGAAAGTATACGTTACAGCCTTACTCTAAAATTGATTAAATAGTTTTTTTCTCTCTCAATCTACACAGAAAACCCCATAATGACAAAGCAAAAACAGGTTTTTATAAATTTGTGCACATGTAGTACAAATAAAAAACTGAAAAATTACATTTACATAAGTATTCAGACCCTTTACTCAGTACCTTGTTGAAGCACCTTTGGCAGCGATTACAGCCTCAAGTCTTCTTGGGTATGACACTACAAGCTTTGCACACCTGTATATGTTCAATCAGGTTCAAGTTTGGGCTCTGTCTGGACCACTGAAGGACATTCAGAGACTTGTCCTGAAGCCTCTTCTGCGTTGTCTTGGCTGTGTGCTTAGGGTCGTTGTCCTGTTGGAAGGTGAACCGTCGCCCCAGTCTGAGGTCCTGAGCAGGTTTTCATCAAGGATCTCTATTTTGCTCCGTTCATCTTTCCCTCAATTGTGACTAGTCTCCCAGTCCCTGCCGCTGAAAAACATCCCCACAGCATGATGCTGCCACCACCATGCTTCACCGTAGGGATGGTGCCAGGTTTCCTCCAGACGTGACGCTTGGCATTCAGGCCAAAGAGTTCAATCTTGGTTTCATCAGACCAGAGAATCTTGTTTCTCATGGTATGAGAGTCCTTTAAGATCATTTTGGCAAACTCCAAGCGGGCTGTCATGTGCCTTTTACTGAGGAGTGGCTTCCGTCTGGCCACTCTACCATAAAGGCCTGATTGAGTGGCCCAGCCAGAGCCCGGACTTGAACCCGATCGAACATCTCTGGAGAGACCTGAAAATAGCTGTGCAGTGATGCTCTCCATCCAACCTCCTAGTGCTTGAGAGGATCTGCAGAGAAGAATGGGAGAAACTCCCCAAATACAGGTGTGCCAAGCTTGTAGCGTCAGACCCAAGAAGATTTGAGGCTGTAATCGCTGCCAAAGGTTCTTCAACAAAGTACTGAGTAAAGGGTCTGAATACTTATGTAAATGTGATATCAGTTTTTTATTTTTTTTTTACTGTTTTTTGCTTTGTCATTATGGGGTATTGTGTGTCGATTGACGAGGGGGAAAAACAATTTTAACAACAAAAAATGTGGAAAAAGTCAAGGGGTCTGAATACTTTCCGAATGCACTGAAATGGTCTGCTGATGGGCCCTCAATGGTTGATGGGGTTCTCATTGTATTTAAACTAGTTAGGTAGGTTTAGGCCCCAAGAACATTCACAGCTGGCTCAAGGGGCAATCAACAGTTGTCTAAACTTCACAAAGCCTTGGAAGTGAACAGAAAATGGACACAGTTAAATAATAATAATAATAATAATATGCCATTTAGCAGACGCTTTTATCCAAAGCGACTTACAGTCGTGCGTGCATACATTTTTGTGTATGGGTGGTCCCGGGGATCGAACCCACTACCTTGGCGTTACAAGCGCCGTGCTCTACCAGCTGAGCTACAGAGGACCACAGTTGCAATGTTATTTATAAAACTGATATGATATTGATATTTTATTAAAAAAATTAAACTGATATTGATCAAATAAAATGTTATTTGTCACATGCGCCGAATACAACAGATGTAGACCTTACCGTGAAACGCTTACTTGTCAATGTAAATAGTGATTTGCCAAATGGAGGGCGAGGGAGAGCTTTGTATGCATCTCTGTGTGTGGAGTAAAGGTGGTCTAGATTTGTTTTCCTCTGGTTGCACATGTGACATGCTGGTAGAAATTAGGTCAAACTGATTCAAGTTTGCCTGCATTAAAGTCCCCGGCCACTAGGAGCGCCATTTCTGGATGAGCATTTTCTTGTTTGCTTATGGCCTTATACAGCTCATTGAGTGCGGTCTTATTGCCAGCATCGGTTTGTGGTGGTAAATAGACGGCTACGAATAATATAGATGAAAACTCTCTTGGTAGACAGTGTGTTCTACAGCTTATCATGAGGTACTCTACATCAGGCGAGCAACACCTCGAGACTTCTTTAATATTAGACATCGCGCACCAGCTGTTATTGACAAATAGACACACACCCCCACCCCTCTTCTTACCAGACGTAGCTGTTCTGTCCTGCCGATGTACGGAAAACCCAGCCAGCTCTATATTATCCGTGTCGTCGTTCAGCCACGACTCGGTGAAACATAAGATATTACAGTTTTGAATGTCCCGTTGGTAGCATAATCTCGAACGGAGATCATTCAGTTTATTTTCCAGTGATTGCACGTTGGCCAATAGAACGGATGGTAGAGGCGGGTTACCCACTCACCGACAAATTCTCACAAGGCACCCCAATCTCCGCCCCCTGTATTTCAGTCTTTTCTTCACGCGAATGACGGGGATTCGGGCCTGGTTTTGGAGAAGCAGTATATCCTTTGCGTCGGACTCATTAAAGAAAAAATCTTTGTCCAGTTCGATGTGAGTAATCGCTGTTCTGATATCCAGAAGCTCTTTTCGGTCATAAGAGAAGGTAGCAGCAACATTATGTACAAAATAAGTTACAAACAATGCAGTATTTTTTTTTTGCACAGTTGGTTAGGAGCCCGTAAAACGGCAGCCATCCCCTCCGGCACCATTATAGTACATATCGATGCCATATCGATGACCATTTCCATATCGATGCCCATCACTACAAAAATACTGTACTGCATTGTACTGTAATTGGACTTGTGGACTTTTTTAAGGGAAACCTGATGCAGGTGTGGCCCAAGTTGGGGAGCATACAACTAATGAAGAGGTGGGAGACCAGGTGGAAGAACCAGAGGGGTTTGAGGAGGAAGACCCTTACAACATGTTTGTTCAAGATCAAATCTATGACACGGTGGATGAGAATGCGAGCTATATCCCAGAAATGTTCAACCGTCCACCAGCCCCAATTCCGAGACCTGTAACATTTTCAGAGTCTGAGAAGTCCAAGACCTACATCTCAAGAGGTACATGACTGAAAAGCACAAGTGTTCTCCAAAGCTATTAGCTAGTGCATAAGTCACCAAACCAGTGGTGTATTTAAGGTCCAGGTGAATGACTATGCTTTACGATTCACAGTGTTTTCGGGAAAAGAAGAATCAAATCCACAGAGGGACCTCAGAGAAACCCAGTCAAACACAGGTACACATCAAATATAAAATCACTTGAGATTTTATTTTCTATATACTGCACATTGTCCTGAATCACATCTTCTCCACTAATTAGTAAAACAATGTATGTGTCTCCAAACCTCCAGTGAGGCCTGTGAGAGACAGAGCCGCCACCTCCTCTTCCCACGACCCCTACGCTGGAATGAAGACCCCAGGCCAGAGGCAGCTCATAGCCTTGCAGGAGAAAGTGAAGGTGGGGGTCCTGAGTGTGGATGATGCTGTGCAGGAATTCAAGATCTGGCAGTTTGACCAGGATAGGAGATCTCAGTCTCTGCGCTATCAACAGGTACAGTAGTAGATTATAGTTAATACTCATATCTCTTGGCAGAACACAATAAACATATATTTTCTGTGGCCCAGGCATAGCTTTTGGGGGTACAATGATTATCTGAAATAATGAATAAATAAAATATATTTTGGTCACAGGAAAATCTAAAAAGATTACGAGACAGCATTGCCAGACGCCATAAAGAGAGGGAGAAGATTGGGAAGGAGATCGGTAGGCATATTTGGAGACTCTACTTTGCCTCTACATGTGACAAGAGCATACTGTACTTTGTAGGCTACTTAATTTGCAATTACATTTCATTTATCAGGCTTGATGAAAAGTGTTTTTATTTTTATTTTTTAAATGGCCTTTCCTATTTGACTATGCCTACAATTCTGTATGTCCATAAGACAGCATCGGTGGTCATATTTGATATACACTGAACAAAAATATAAACACAACATGCAACAGTTCATATAAGGAAATCAGTCAATTGAAATAAATTCATCAGGCCCTAATCTATGGATTTCACATGACTGGGAATACAGATGTGCAGCTGTTGGTCACAGATAGCTTAAAAAAGGTAGGGGTGTGGATCAGAAAACCAGTCAGTATCTGGTGTGGCCACCATTTGCCTCATGCAGTGCGACATCTTCTTTGCATAGAGTTGATCAGGCTGTTGATGGCCTGTGGAATGTTGTCCAACTCCTCTTCAATGGCTGTGCGAAGTTGCTGGATATTGGCGGAAACTGGAACACCCTGTCGTACAAGTCGATCCAGAGCATCCCAAACATGCTCAATGTGTGACATGTCTGGTGAGTATGCAGGCCATGGAAGAACAAAGCTATTTTCAGCTTCCAGGAATTGCGTACAGATCCTTGCGACATGGGGCCATGCATTATCATGCTGAAACATGAGGTGATGGCGGCGGATGAATGGCACGACAATGGGCCTCATGATCTTGTCACGGTATCTCTGTGCATTCAAATTGCCATCGATAAAAAAGGCAATTGTGTTCGTTGTCCGTAGCTTATGCCTGCCCATACCATAACCCCACTGCCACCATGGTGCAGTCTGTTCACAACGTTGACATCAGCAACCTGCTCGACCCACACAACGCCATACACGCTGTCTGCCATCTGCCCGGTACCGTTGAAACTGGGATTCATCCTTGAAGAGCACACTTGTTCAGCATTTGCCCACTGAAGTCGGTTACGACGTCGAACTGCAGTCAGGTCAAGACCCTAGTGAGGACGACGAGCACACAGATGAATTTCCCAGAGACGGTTTCTGACAGTTTGTGCAGAAATTCTCCAGCTGTGTAAACCCACAGTTTCATCAGCTGTCCGGGTGGCTGGTCTTAGACGATCCAGCAGGTGAAGATGCCGGATGTGGAGGTCATGGGCTGGCGTGGTTACACGTGGTCTGTGGTTACACGTACTTCCAAATTCTCTAAAATGATGTTGAAGGCGGTTTATGGTAGAGAGATTAACATTAAATTAACATTAAATTATCTGACCTGCAGTCAGAATGCCAATTGCAAGCTCCCTCAAAACTTGATACATCTGTGGCATTGTGTTGTGTGACAAAACTGAACATTTTACAGTGGCCTTTTATTGTCCCCAGCACAAGGTGCACCTGTGTAATGATCATGCTGTTCAATCAGCTTCTTGATATGCCACACCTGTCAGGTGAATGGATTATCTTGGCAAAGGAGAAATGCTCACTAACAGGGATGTAAACTAATTTGTGCAACACTTTTTTGAGAAATAAGCTTTTTGTGCATATGGAACATTTCTGGGATCTTTTATTTCAGTTCATGAAACATGGGACCAACACTTTATATGGTGCGTTTATATTTTTGTTCAGTATAAAAACATGATGTTACAGTTACAGTAAAACACTTAAATGGAAATACTTTGGAACATCTATGTACTGTATGTATGACATTTAGCTTATTGTTGATGATTGATGCTTATTGTTGATCTGGCCTCTTCCCTGTGAGATCTGGAGATAAGCGCCCCACTGCAGAGGAACCTTCACTGGGGTTCCAACATGGCTGTGGAGTGTTCTGTGTACGAGCCCGCCCCACAGGTCATGACCCAGACCCCTCCTGTGGCCCAGCCAATCCAGAGAAGCACCTGGAAAACTGGCAGTACCTCCAGCACATCCAGTGAGTCCAATCTGTCGTTTTCATGTCACTATGAGCCTTATGTCAGGATGGCAGTCAAAAATGACAACTGATGTAATGATTGAGTTGGTCTAGTTTTGATGTTGGATATATTACAAGATGATGTTAGTGTGGATTGTCAAAAATCTGTATTAGTAGAGCGATAGTGCTTATAGAAATATACTTGTGTTTGCAGAATGATGAAATCTGCAACACGTGGTCATTTGTTTTGCTGATCAACTCTGATTATTTCCATATCATCTATGGTCGTTATGTCTAAAATATTAGACCTGTAGCTACATTACTCTCCCCATTATTGTTGCTTCACTCAGATGCTCTCTCTGAGTCGCCTTCATCTCTAGCTATTAATGTGTACTTAAGCCTTGGCTGAAGTGGGGAGGTCATCCCAACCTTCTACAGGCTCTTACCTCTTCAAGAAATTGTTTCACATTTACTTGTAGTGTTTCTTTCCTGAGCATATATTTTTTTACTTGAACTTTCCCAGGTAGTGGCAGTAACAGACTCAGCACACATAGTAACATTAGCTACAGCAGTGGAACTGAGCCCGAGTTTGAGGTAAGGCCAAATTGTTCTTCAAAGCCCAGTTCACCCAACACGCTTTTGGTATATTTCTGTCTTTGTGAAAGCATGGCTTAGTCAACAAGGCTGAATAGCTTATCCTTATTCCTACGTATAGTTGCTGGAGAGACATTAAATCCAACTGAATCAACTCACCACCAAAAGCATTAAGTTATAAACACCTTTGTAATTTACCAAAAGCATATTGATGAAAAAAATATAGAATACTTAGGAAGGCACCATGTACTTATTTACAATGTACTCTTGTCAATGTATTTACAATGTTCTCTGTCACCTGCGCTTTTGTCAATAACCTGATTATTAATTATGCTGTGTATTGATTTGATCCATGGAAAGGACACAGTAGACATCCTCCCAATTCCACCACGAATCGCTGTGGCCGCACCTCTACTTCCTCCCCCCAGAATCCCTCCACGACTCCCAGACCGGTAAGCCCACTCTTTCGATAAGAGAGGCCATTTCATACATTCCTGTATCAGGATCACAGAAACTTGCTGTAACTTGATTTCAGAATGTAATTGCATGTAATGCAACATGGAATTACAGAAAGGCAACATCACAGGAGTTAAAAGTAGAATCAGTAATATGACGTCGTCATAAACAGCAGAGTGACATCCTGCTCACAGAAATCAACAACAAAATTGAACTTGAATGTCAAAAGTTGAGAATGACACAAATATTAATTTTCACAAAGTCTGCTGCCTCAGTTTTGATGATGTCCATTTGCATATACTCCAGAATGTTATGATGAGTGATCAGATGAATTGCAATTAATTGCAAAGTCCCTCTTTGCCATGAAAATGAACTTAATCCGCAAAAAACATTTCCACTGCATTTCAGCCCTGCCACAAAAGGACTAGCTGACATCATGTCAGTGATTCTCTCGTTAACACAGGTGAGAGTGTTGACGAGGACAAGGCTGGAGATCACTCTGTCATGCTGATTGAGTTAGAATAACAGACTGGAAGCTTTAAAAGGAGGGTGGTGCTTGAAATCATTGTTTTTCCTCTGTTAACCATGGTTACCTGCAAGGAAACAAATGCCGTCATTATTGCTTTGCACAAAAAGGGCTTCACAGGCAAGGATATTGCTGCTAGTAAGATTGCACCTAAATCAACCATTTATCGGATCATCAAGAACTTCAAGGAGAGAGGTTAAATTGTTGTGAAGAAGGCTTCAGGGCGCCCAAGAAAGTCCAGCAAGCGCCAGGACCGTCTCCTAAAGTTGATTCAGCGGCGGGATCGGGGCACCACCAGTGCAGAGCTTGCTCAGGAATGGCAGCAGGCAGGTGTGAGTGCATCTGCACGCACAGTGAGGCAAAGACTTTTGGAGGATGGCCTGGTGTCAAGAAGGGTAGCGAGGAAGCCACTTATCTCCAGGAAAAACATCAGGGACAGACTGATATTCTGCAAAAGGTACAGGGATTGGACTGCTGAGGACTGGGGTAAAGTCATTTTCTCTGATGAATCCCCTTTCCGATTGTTTGGGGCATCCAGAAAAAAGCTTGTCCGGAGAAGACAAGGTGAGCACTACCATCAGTCCTGTGTCATGCCAACAGTAAAGCATCCTGAGACCATTCATGTGTGGGGTTGCTTCTCAGCCAACGGAGTGGGCTCACTCACAATTCTGCCTAAGAACACAGCCATGAATAAAGAATGGTACCAACACATCCTCCGAGAGCAACTTCTCCCAACCATCCAAGAACAGTTTGGTGACGAACAATGCCTTTTCCAGCATGATGAAGCACCTTGCCATAAGGCAACAGTGATAACTAAGTGGCTCGGGGAACAAAACATTGAAATGTTGGGTCCATGGCCAGGAAACTCCCCAGATCTTAATCCCATTGAGAACTTGTGGTCAATCCTCAAGAGGCGGGTGGACAAACAAAAACCCACAAATTCTGACAAACTCCAAGCATTGATTGTGCAAGAATGGGCTGCCATCAGTCAGGATGTGGCCCAGAAGTTAATTGACAGCATGGCAGGGCGGATTGCAGAGGTCTTGAAAAAGAAGGGTCAACACTGCCAATATTGACTCTTTGCATAAACTTAATATAAATTGTCAAAGCCTTTGACACTTATGGAATGTTTGTAATTATACTTCAGTATACCATAGTAACATCTGACAAAAATATCTAAAAACACTGAAGCAGCAAACTTTGTGAAGACCAATACAAAAATCCCAAAAATCACATTGTATGATTTTTAAGTAATTAATTTGCATTTTATTGCATGACATAAGTATTTGATACATCAGAAAAGCAGAACTTAATATTTGGTACAGAAACCTTTGTTTGCAATTACAGAGATCATACGTTTCCTGTAGGTCTTGACCAGGTTTGCACACACACTGCAGCAGGGATTTTGGCCCACTCCTCCATACAGACCTTATCCAGATCCTTCTGGTTTCGGGGCTGTCGCTGGGCAATACGGACTTTCAGCTCCCTCCAAAGATTTTCTATTAAGATGCTTCTTACGGAGCCACTCCTTAGTTGCCCTGGCTGTGTGTTTCGGGTCGTTGTCATGCTGGAAGACCCAGCCACGACCCATCTTCAATGCTCTTACTGAGGGAAGGAGGTTGTTGGCCAAGATCTCGCGATACATGGCCCCATCCATCCTCCCCTCAATACGTGTCAGTCGTCCTGTCCCCTTTGCAGAAAAGCATCCCCAAAGAATGATGTTTCCACCTCCATGCTTCACGGTTGGGATGGTGTTCTTGGGGTTGTACTCATCCCTCTTCTTCCTCCAAACACGGCGAGTGGAGTTTAGACCAAAAAGCTCTATTTATGTCTCATCAGACCACATGACCTTCTCCCACTCCTCCTCTGGATAATCCAGATGGTCATTGGCAAACTTCAGACGGGCCTGGACATGCGCTGGCTTGAGCAGGGGGACCTTGCGTGCACTGTAGGATTTTAATCCATGACCGCGTAGTGTGTTACTAATGGTTTTCTTTGAGACTGTGGTCCCAGCTCTCTTCAGGTCATTGACCAGGTCCTGCCATGTAGTTCTGGGCTGATCCCTCACCTTCCTCATGATCATTGATGCCCCACGAGGTGAGATCTTGCATGGAGCCCCAGACCGAGGGTGATTGACCGTCATCTTGAACTTGCGGCAACAGTTGTTGCCTTCTCACCAAGCTGCTTGCCTATTGTCCTGTAGCCCATCCCAGCCTTGTGCAGGTCTAGAATTTTATCCCTGATGTCCTTACACAGCTCTCTGGTCTTGGCCATTGTGGAGAGGTTGGAGTCTGTTTGATTGAGTGTGTGGACAGGTGTCTTTTATACAGGTAACGAGTTCAAACAGGTGCAGTTAATACAGGTAATGAGCGGAGAACAGGAGGGCTTCTTAAAGAAAAGCTATCAGGTCTGTGAGAGCCGGAATTCTTACTGGTTGGTATGTGATCAAATACTTATGTCATGCAATAAAATGCAAATTAACTACTTAAAAATCATACAATGTGATTTTTTGGATTTTTGTTTTAGATTCCGTCTCTCACAGTTGAAGTGTACCTATGATAAAAATTACAGACCTCTACATGCTTTGTAAGTAGGAAAACCTGCAAAATCGGCAGTGTATCAAATACTTGTTCTCCCCACTGTAAGTTCCTACAACTTTTAAAAACAACTCCAAAACCCCTGCCACTGTCACTTTAGGCCCAGGCTGTGTGGTACAAGGGTGAATGGTGGGACTTGGGGCAGACACACGCCATGGAAATGTAGGCTCCCCTCTCGGGTGTGCTCTCCCTCTCCAGAGCACATTTGCCACTTTCCCCATCACCCCAGCGCTGACATTTGGCCCAGTGGTTGATGACATTCTGGAGCAGACCGAAACGAGATGGAGGGTTTCGACCGATTCTGGACTTCCGCAATCTCAATGGGTACTTGGAGGTACTGAGGTTCCACATGCTGTCCCCAGCCCGCGTGTTGCAGGCCGTGTCCAGGGACCAGTGGTTTGTGGTGCTGGACCTGAGAGATGCGTACTTCCATTTCAGTACCTCCGATTCGCTTTCGAAGGGACTGCTTACGAATTCATGGTTCTTCCCTTCGGCCTCTCCTTGGCACCCCGCATTTTTACAAAGTGCATGGACGCTGTCCTGGCACCTCTCACGTCCCGAGGATGGTTGATCCTCAATTACCTGGACGATTGGCTGATTTGTGCCCCGACCAGGACCCATGTCCTGTCAGACAGAGACACGCTCCTGACCCACCTCGGCAGGCTGGGCATTACTGTAAATGACGAGTTGTCTGACACCCACCCAGAGGGTGGCCTTCATTGGCATGGAACTGGACACAGTCCTCATGAGAGCACGCCTTCCCACCAGAAGGGTTAAGGCGATCTTATCTTGCCTCGACCACTTTCGGCAGGGGCGGGTGGTATCCGCCCTGACCTGCCAACGCCTGTCTGGCTTGCTGATGGCGGCCTTGTTGCTGATTTCCCCTGGGCCTGCTCCATCTCCGGCCACTTCAACGGTGGTTCAACTCCCACCGGCTGCACCCGAAGTGCCACCGTCACCGCCAGCTGCGGGTGACCGCACAGTGCCTCAGGGCATTGTTGAGGTGGCGCTGTTGCTCCTTTCTCTCAGGTGGGGTGGAGATGCTGAGGATGTGACGCCGGGAGCTGGTCAGCACAGACGCATCCCAGATCGGCTGGGGGGGGGGGGGCCCTGCTGGCCCTGCGGTCTTTCCTGTCCTGGTGAGAATGGATAACACCACAGTGTTGGCTTACATCAACCATCAGGGTGGACTGAGGTCCCACCGTCTCCATCTTATGGCACTGGAGCTCCTTCTCTGGGCTCAGGGACGTCTAGCGTTACTACGTGCAGCGCACGTACCTAGCATCCTGAATGTGGCAGCGGATATGCTCTTAAGGGAGGGCACGCCACCTTGGGACTGGAGCCTACATTACCAGGTGGTGCAGCACCTGTGGGACAAGTTCAGGAGGGCACAGGTATACCTGTTTGCCTCCCTGGGTCATGCACACTGTCCCCTGTGGTACTCCATGTCAGAGCCACCAGGGCCTCTGGGCTTGGATGCTCTGGCTCACTATTGGCCAGAGCTGGAGCTTTACGCATTCCCCCCTTTTCCCCTGATCCAAGGCTGTGCTGGACAGAACCAGGATGGAGGCGCATCGTCTGCTGCTGGTGGCCCCATACTGGCCCAGACGACCCTGGTTCAGCCTTCTCCTGTCCCTGTTGTCTGGGACTCCTTGGCAACTGTCCCTTAGACCCGCTGTCTCAGGCCGGGGGAACTCTGTGGCTTCCGAGACCGCACTGCCTCAGTCTGTAGGCTTGGCTGCTGAACGGCACCAATGGTCCATGTTAGGACTACAGGAGGGCGTAATGAACACCATGCAGAGCGCAAGGGCACCGGCTACAACCGCGGCATTCCAGTTGCGCTGGCGGTTGTTCTGCTCTTGGTGCACTGGTATTGAGGTTGTGCCCGAGTCATGCGGGATGCAGTATGTCCTCCAGTCTCGCTTGGATGAGGGCTTGGTAGCCTCTACACTGAGAGGGTATTTGGCCGCTATATCTGCCTGCCATGTGGGGTGGATGGACAGGCCAGTGGGGCGTCATCCCTTGGTCGCCAGGTTTATGAAGGGGGTTCGTTGCCTAGGACCCGCTCAATGGCGAGCTGGGATCTGGATGTGGTCTTGGCAGCTTTGGCAAAGCTGCCTTTCGAACCATTGGAGTTTGCCTCCCTGAAACACCTCTCTATGAAGGTAGTTTTCTTGGTAGTGATTACTTCAGTGAAGAGGGTGGGTGAGCTCCATGCTTTTCGGTCAGTTCTGAGTGCTACCGGATGGACCCCGGTGGGAGGAGTATATCTCTCCGCCCCAACCCTTCATTCCTCCCGAAGGTTCTGTCAGACCGGCATGTGAACATCCCTTTGATCCTGTCTGCTTATGACCCCCCGGCAGTGGCGGGGGAGTCTGGGCCTCCCTCCGGCATGCTGTGCCCTGTGCGGGCACTGGCTGCCTATGTGGAGCGGACTCGGTCAGTGAGAACAACAGACCAGCTCGTTGTCTGCTATGGTGAGAGAGTCCTGGGGGCTGGGCTATCATAGCAGAGACTCTCTCACTGGATCGTAGACACGATTACGACAGCATACCGCCTGGCTGGCAGGCCAGTGCTGGGATCTGTAGTGGCACATTCAACATGAGGTGTGGCTGCGTCCTGGGCTCTACTGAGAGGAGTGCCCCTCGCTGATATCTGTGCTGCAGCCAGCTGGGCTTCCTGCTAGGTACTATCGGGTAAATATGGCACCTCCCTCTGCGGTTGGATCAGCGGTCCTGGGCGTCGCCTCCCCTTCCAGGGACTGTGCCGGGACCCCCCTTCCACATTGACGGCCCCTGCGTCTCGGTTCCGCACTGGGACTTCGCCGCTGGCTGGCCAGGTCCCTCTAGCACCGACAAAATCTGGGACGGGTATACCAATATATTGGAGTGATCCAATATAGTGAAACATAACGAAGGTTCCGAATGTAACCACGGTTATGTGAGCTATATGGATCACTCCAATCCTCTACGGTGCTAGAAGGCGCCTCAAAAATGATGTAGAGAACGTGTGTCGCGGCCATGGGGTCTATATATAGGGGCGGACCCCAGTCGTGACACAGGTGTACACGGGAGTAAATCTGTAAATCCTCACCTCTGATGTATCCCTCCGCTGCGGAGTGATACCAATATATTGGAGTGATTCAATATAGTGAAACATAACGGTTTCATAAAAACTCATAATAATGTAAGCTTTGGCACTACTAGCTACAGTAGTAGCTTGCTAGCTATCTTTTGTTGGAATATTCAACATTGTGTGTGCAGCGCTAAGTAGGTAAGTTAGCTGGTTGGTTAGCAGCATCCTTTCAGTCGATGTTAAGGACACATTTTTGATAGCTTTACTCCTCATTGAAGCACAATAATCCTTAGCTAGATGTAAAAAAGCATCAACATTATTGACATATTTATTGTTTTAGATTAATTCAGACAGTTTTGAGACAGAAATGGGGTTCAGCAGATGTCGCCTAGGCAATATTTTTTATGTTAGACAGCTGATAGTCCCAGTCGGTATTAGATAGAACGTCACGGCCCCGCCTGCGGGGAAAAACAATCTGTGCTTACCTAGGTTACCACATTGGCTCACAGCAAAAACCTATCCTTTTTCAAATGCAATTGTATTTTTGTTTGTCTGTTTTAGTCAATTACAGAACAACGTTTAATAAAGTACAACATGACTAAAGATTACTTTTCAACATTGCCTGCTCCCAATATTGTAGGGCTTCCCTCATGCCCCATTTCATGACGTCTTGACGGTGTTAGCAGCCACGTGAGTGAGAGCGAGCTAGCTGACCGGAACATTAAGCTAGCCAAGACCAACACAAACAGACTATACATCTACAAGTAATGAGAGGAGTTACAAACGAACTACACTAAACAAGTGAAATGTCTTACCTGTGATCAACTGTTTTCCACACACATAACTAACTACGTGTAGCCTGCCTATTTTGACACATCCGGGTCCTCACATTTCCAATACCGAATAGCTTGAAGCCACAGTGCTCTTCTCGCGCTCTCTATTTCCCTACATGGGAGCATTGCGAACCGTTGGTCGGGATTTTTGACCTGGTTACATGTACATTGAACAACACAGCAGCTTTTCGGCATGTTTAGTTATTTCTGTATAACAAAAAAATAACGAAGTTGGCTTTTTACACTGTGGGTTTATGGGAAATAATGTTTGTTTTCCCTAATTTGTGAGCGTGGTCTAGGGGAATTCCTTATTATTACCTGAATATCGACTCCGAGTAGCAGAACTACTTTCGAGCTATCCCATTACTCTTTGCGATATACGAGACAGATCAGTGCAGGCGGAATTGACGCACTATCTGACATAAGACAATGGCCTTGGTCATAATGCAGTATGCATGTCTAAGAGCAGTTATTTGCGCCCAATTTCTCCATTGTAATGCATTATGCATTTCTCATAAGGAGTTAAATATGCATTATGAAGAGGTATGCAGTGTTACCATGTATTCTTCCTACTTGTATTTAAACTTGTCTGTGTATATTTCTGTTGATAGTTATGTGAATTTTGCATCTGTAACTAAATCATTTGGGTAACCTGAGTTGATGTGCATTACAAACTGCCAACCACAAAACCAACCCGACCCTAATGATTGCAAACAAAAAAACTGCTCTCATGGTGCTTTACCATAGATGTAAGTTTAACTGTGTCAAAAGCTATATTTTGAAATGTAAAAAAAAATCGCCATATCCAGTTACTGCAGCTGACATTATGACTGTTTTCTTAACAATTATAGAGCTGAGACTTACTGGACTAACTGTGAAACAGACAATCAGCTATAGGGGGTTCTACAGCGTGACACCTCTACAACTTGGCTATTTTAATAATTCCCCTGAGAGACACACTCATTTGAGATGACAGGAAATTGTCACGCCCTGGCTCTGGGGACTCTAGTATGTTGTGCCAGGGTGTGAGTTTTCATTTGTTTTTCGTTCTAGTTTTGTAGTTCTATGTTGGCCAGTGTGCTTCTCAATCAGAGGCAACGTGTATCAGCTGTTGCTTGTTGTCTCTGATTGGGAACCATACTTAAGCAGCCAGTTTTCCCACAGTGTTTGTGGGATCTTGTTCCTGTGTAGGTTTGTGTTTTGCACCTTTGGACGTGACGTATCGATTTGTTGTTTTTGTTCGTGTAATCATTATTTCATAAATATGTTCACCTTCCACGCTGCGCCTTGGTCCTCTGTATCCGACGATCGTGACAGAAATACTGTGTGACTCACATGAACACACTGCATTGCTTAATCTCTGTTTAGTTTGTCATGCCGAGTGTAACAACCATGCTGTTATCTGTTATACATTTTAGGGCTCCAGAGAGTTTGTTGCAGGAGCGTTACATATCATGCCCCTCTCGAGCACTTCCTAAGAGACCATCTCAGAGGACCACCTCTCCCCCTCCCATACCCCGGAGAACATAGTGACACACATCTCTGCTGTTTTATCATTTTGAATGTCTGCCCTCTAAAATGTATATCAATATCTAATCAGGCAGCATTATTTATATTAGGTTTTATTTTGCCTCCAAGTTTTCAGAGCAAAAACTATATACATACACTACCAGTCAAAAGTTTGGACACACCTACTCATTCAAGGGTTTTTCTTAATTTTTTACATTGTATAATAATAGTGAAGACATCAAAACTATGAAATAACACATGGAATCATGTAGTAACCAGAAAAGTGTTAAACAAATCAAAATACACTGCTCAAAAAAATAAAGGGAACACTTAAACAACACATCCTAGATCTGAATGAATGAAATAATCTTATTAAATACTTTTTTCTTTACATAGTTGAATGTGCTGACAACCAAAATCACACAAAAATGATCAATGGAAATCAAATGTATCAACCCATGGTCTGGATTTGGAGTCACCCTCAAAATTAAAGTGGAAAACCACACTACAGGCTGATCCAACTTTGATGTAATGTCCTTAAAACAAGTCAAAATGAGGCTCAGTAGTGTGTATGGCCTCCACGTGCCTGTATGACCTCCCTACAATGCCTGGGCATGCTCCTGATGAGGTGGCGGATGGTCTCCTGAGGGATCTCCTCCCAGACCTGGACTAAAGCATCCGCCAACTCCTGGACGGTCTGTGGTGCAACGTGGCGTTAGTGGATGGAGCGAGACATGATGTCCCAGATGTGCTCAATTGGATTCAGGTCTGGGGAACGGCCGGTCCATAGCATCAATGCCTTCCTCTTGCAGGAACTGCTGACACACTCCAGCCACATGAGGTCTAGCATTGTCTTGCATTAGGAGGAACCCAGGGCCAATCGCACCAGCATATGGTCTCACAAGGGGTCTGAGGATCTCATCTCGGTACCTAATGACAGTCAGGCTACCTCTGGCGAGCACATAGAGGGCTGTGCGGCCCCCCAAAGAAATGCCACCCCACACCATGACTGACCCACCGCCAAACCGGTCATGCTGGAGGATGTTGCAGGCAGCAGAACGTTCTCCACGGCGTCTCCAGACTGTCACGTGCTCAGTGTGAACCTGCTTTCATCTGTGAAGAGCACAGGGCGCCAGTGGCGAATTTGCCAATCTTGGTGTTCTCTGGCAAATGCCAAACGTCCTGCACGGTGTTGGGCTGTAAGCACAACCCCCACCTGTGGACGTCGGGCCCTCATACCACCCTCATGGAGTCTGTTTCTGACCATTTGAGCAGACACATGCACATTTGTGGCCTGCTGGAGGTCATTTTGCAGGGCTCTGGCAGTGCTCTTCCTGCTCCTCCTTGCACAAAGGCGGAGGTAGCGGTCCTGCTGCTGGGTTGTTGCCCTCCTACGGCCTCCTCCACATCTCCTGATGTACTGGCCTGTCTCCTGGTAGCGCCTCCATGCTCTGGTCACTACGCTGACAGACACAGCAAACCTTCTTGCCACAGCTCGCATTGATGTGCCATCCTGGATGAGCTGCACTACCTGAGCCACTTGTGTGGGTTGTAGACTCCGTCTCATGCTACCACTAGAGTGAAAGCACCGCCAGCATTCAAAAGTGACCAAAACATCAGCCAGGAAGCATAGGAACTGAGAAGTGGTCTGTGGTCACCACCTGCAGAACCACTTCTTTATTGGGGGTGTCTTGCTAATTGCCTATAATTTCCACCTGTTGTCTATTCCATTTGCACAACAGCATGTGAAATGTATTGTCAATCAGTGTTGCTTCCTAAGTGGACAGTTTGATTTCACAGAAGTGTGATTGACTTGGAGTTACATTGTGTTGTTTAAGTGTTCCCTTTATTTTTTTGAGCAGTGTATTTTTTATATTTGAGATTCTTCAAATAGCCACACTTTTTTGGTTACTACATGATTCCATTTGTGTAATTTCATAGTTTTGATGTCTTCACTATTATTCTACAATGTAGAAAATAGTAAAGATAAAGAAAATCCCTTGAATGAGTAGGTGTGTCCAAACTTTTGAATGGTACTATATACACAGTATATACACAGTATATATATACACACAAAGTGTTAAACAAATCAAAATATATTTGAGATTCTTCAAATAGCCACATTTTGCCTTTATGACAGCTTTGCACACTCTTGGCATTCTCTCAACCAGCTTCACCTGGAATGCTTTTCCAACAGTCTTGAAGGAGTTCCCACATATGCTGAGCACTTGTTGGCTGCCTTTCCTTCATTCTGCCGTCCGACTCACCCCAAACTATCTTAATTGGGTTGAGGTTGGGGGATTGTGGAGGCCAGGTCATCTGATGCAGCACTCCATCACTCTCCTTCTTGGTAAAATAGCCCTTACACAGCCTGGAGGTGTGTTGGGTCATTGTCCTGTTGAAAAACAAATGATAGTCCCACTAAGCCCAAACCAGATGGAATGGCGTGTCTGTTACTTGAACTCTGTGAAGCATTTATTTGGACTGCAATTTCTGAGGCAAATGGTGGCTGTTTGAAGAATCTAAAATCTAAAATATATTTAGATTTGTTTAAAACTTTTTTGGTTACTACATGATTCCTTATGTGTTATGTCATAGTTTTGATGTCTTCACTATTATTCTACAATGTAAAAAATAGTAAAAATAAAGAAAAACCCTTGAATGCGTAGGTGTGTCCAAACTTTTGACTGGTAGTGTATATATATATATAAAATTGTTATTAGTTTTTTGGGGACATAAAAGACTGTAAAAACACCAGAAAATCAGTTGCAATTTATTTTTATTTTGAAATCTGTTCCAAAGTCTTCCCACGCATAATCGTGAGATATACAGCATGTGATTGTATACAAATGTAAGCAAGGTTTGAAATGATTATGTTTTAGTCAAATATTGTATCTGTTTGGGTTCTTGCGGTCAATTTGCAGTCTCTACATTATTTGTAACTATGTTCCGGCCCCCTGACCATCCGCTCAATAAAAAAATCGGCCCGCGGCTGAACATCAGCATACATGAAAGTTTGTGTGTGTAGAACAGAAGCACATAGAACATGATCATCAATTCAGTCAATTCAGGAAGTAAACTGAAATTCCAATTTAAAGGGGCAATGTTGGATTCAATCAACAAAGCATACCCTGTCACTTTTTTGGTGAACAGCTGAGTGATGGGCCTGTAGAAATGTAGTCGAAAAAAGGGAAACTATTTTTAATGACTCCTTAATCAAATAAAAATAAGCTATTTATTTCAAAAGTTTTAAATTTTTTTAAATGTTTGATTGCAATCACTTTCTGAATTGTCTGACTTGAATTCTAACTGACCCCAACCCTACCATAGACCCAGTGATACTGTACATGGATCTTGTAATAACTGCATGCGTTAGAATTATAAAGGGTTTTCAACAAAGTGATCAAGTAAAGATTGTGTTTGTTTATCAAGTTTGTGCATGCATACTACTGTATTATACAACTGATCACACAATGAAGTTTGATTAAAAAAATGCAAAGTTTAAACATTTATGTAATCTGTTTTAAAATAAATGTGTTGAGTTAATGTTTGGTGTGCACCACAAGACATGGACATGAACATTAATTTACTTTAAAAGAGTGCCATCAGCAGACAAGCATTTTACACTGCACACTGTACATACTGTATGGTACAATATGAGCCACTTGGTGGCGCTCTATACATGAGATACACCATTTTGTTCGGTGATGTTTGGCATGTTAGGTTATATTTCAGTATATTTCTTTACTTCTTTATTTGATAATATATACACAATCAATTATCATATGTTTATTGTCTGTTGCTTTGATGTTTAGTGTCAGTGTCAACCTGCACAGCACAACACATTATTGTTCGCTTACATTTTAGTGTATTTCATACAGCGAGTAACATGTAGCTTTCTTGAGAAGCCCAAGACAGATCCAATAGGCTACTCTTATGGTGTATTCATTTCTAACATTTGCACCTGTTGCTGAGTCACTGTGCACAGTGGTCAGAAATACAACTGAAAAAAACACCAACTTCACCAAACGTACTATCACCTCATAGGCTACAATTCATAAAATGCATTCAATTAATCTTACATGAATTTCATATTTGACAAGAATGTATTTAATCAAATGATCCATCAACATTCTAATGATCATAAATGTGTAAGAAGCCTGTAATGTAAGAGTTTTTAAGATATCCCATAATATGACAGAGTCCTGAAGCTGCCTCGCTCGCTTTGCCTGTCCTCAAGGAGGGAAATACGCATGTAGCCAATGAGCAAGGAGTGAGGTACAATGCGTTGTCGGGGTGATTGGTGGGTACTTTGTAGCTCACTGTGCTGACTGTACATTATAGCACAGACCTCATTGCCGTGTGTGGGAGCAATATTGATAAGTAACACTGGATTGCAACTCTTCAAAGGTAAACGTTTGCATTTTATTGTCTGTCTCTCTCATATGCTTAATTTGCGCGTCAGATACTGTATATAGCCTACAAAAGCCAATTTACATCATGCCCATTTTGGGTAATTTCGCCCCCTTGGCAACAAATGCAACACATTTGTGTTTGATTCTGGGGCACGAGGGACTTGTAATGTCTCGAGTGTTTGATTGTAATTCAAATATTTGCCTATTACCTGCATTGGTGGGCTTTTATTGTATTCCACGTGGGACCAAAATGGCCTGGGACGTGGTCTTCGGACAGCAGTACGGTCGTTGTGTTGAAGCTATACTGCAGTAAAGACACATCCATCTGATATCTGCAACCATACATACGACCGCTGCTCATCCTTGTGTCGCACTAGACGCTAGTCTATAGTGTTGTAAAATAGAGTATCCCAAATCGTGGAACTGAAGAATGTAACGTTTATTATTGTCATGGAACGCTCTTTGCATGTTTTATCTGGTTACAAAAAGACAATAGCCTACAATTAGGCTACTGCACATTGTACAACATCACTTGTTTACTCTTGATTAGTTCACAATATTGTAGCTTTCATTATAGCAGAAATAACATATGGCAACATAGTATGTAGGTAAATACATGAATAACATCAGTGGTATGAATGGGCCTAATGTAATGCATATTATGCGGCACTGATAGGTAACCCCATTTAACTTGATTTGTGGGTACTGTACAAAAGGGACAGACAGTATAATGACATGTGGATGGATGGTTGTCTATTTAA